TCTGCGGGAGATGTGTCCTCGGCGAGACATTCGCATTGTGCTGGACGACTTCATTGTGGACTCCAGCTGTGATCAAACTGACCACGAGATGTCTGTCGGTCCCCATGAGCCGGGAGCTGGTCTCAGCAGGTAGAACAGCCTTCTTCTCCGGGACTTTGCCAGGTCCCAGAGATTGAGGATTTCTGGCTCCTTGTATCAGCGCTCCAACCTGCATTGCTGGACTTCGTATAGCGATTCGGGTACTGTGGAGATCGACCACATCCTTGTTAGTACTCGCAGGAGGATCCTCCAGAACTGCAGGGTTTAACTCAACCCACACCACCCCATCTTCCTCTCGCCCTCGTCTTTCTACCGTTTCCATTTCTGCAAACCTTTTCAGTACTTTCTTTGCCCAGCCAAGTGGGATCGATTCTTTGTGATTCTGCCTACAGTCCCTTACTCTGACAGTACCGGTCTCTTCCAAATTCAAGTAGGCAAAGTATCCCTTCACAGTCGCTCCGATCGTTCATTATCTCGTCACAGTTTCACCAGAGTCCCACGCTCGTTAATTATCTCCCCTGACTGACTGCGACTGTTTCTGTCTCGCCACCCTTCGCTCCCAGCCACGGAGGGTCCCTCGGGACCCGCAGGCGCTCCTCCAAGGCTCTCTTTGGGTCCGGGCTGGGCGCTTAGCCGAGGGAATACCGTGCCCATGGCTCCCGGAGGCCGTCCATGAGTGACACCTCTCAGCACGGCTCTCACACCTGAGGAAGTAGACAGAAGGAGGGGTGAAGAGAGAAAGAAGAGGAGAGGGCGAGAGGAAAAGACCGCCTCCTGAGCTCCCCACGACAAGGACAAGCAAGGGATTGGATATGTGTGTGTGTGTGTGTGTGTGTGTGTGTGTGTGTGTGTGTGTGTGTGTGTGTGTGTGTGTGTGTGTGTGTGTGTGTGTGTGTGTGTGTGTGTGTGTGTGTGTGTGTGTGTGTGTGTGTGTCAGTCACTACTGTAGAGAAGATAAAATTCAGTTCAATTCAATGTCAATTTTTTTCATATTGCTCCATGGGTTGGGAACCCCTGATTTATACATATTGTACAGTGGTATGTTCAATGTTTTTTGTATCTTATTTTTCTATACATTTTTCATATAGCATTTATACCTTATACATATCTTTGACATTTGGACTGTTTTTTTCGGTTCTGGATCTTCCATTAAATGGGCTCAGGTGGTAATACTGTGTGATATACACATAGAAGTAAATCTTGTACAGAATTTATTAACAATCATTATCAACAATACTACATTTATAGTCAATGGTAAGTGTAACATTTGTAGAGAAGGCAGTCACAGGAAAAGTCTTCACAATCCTGTAACTCACAAGAATGTCACCTTCTTTGGCTTAAAATCAGAAACACAATAATCAATATTATCAAAAGAATACAAGAGCTACTGAAAATGTTTTGTGATATCTTCAGTTCAAATTTGCAAGGAAGTACATTAATAAGATAAATAAATTTCAAAAAGTGATACTTTCACTTAAGGTTTGCAAGACATGAGCTGAGGAAAAGATTTTGCAATACTTTTACTAAATGTTTGCATAGCATGAGCTGTGAAATTCAGAACAGAGGCAAGGAGGTTCTGTGAGCTGCAAACTGTAAGAGAGAGATTCACTGAAGGACTAAAAAATGAATGCCTTTTAATCATATGCTGATATGAGGTTGTTAAAACACAGGACCTATACCATAATTCTTTTTATTTAAATTGGATATGATGTGATGAAAACTTGTAAATTGTGCAAAAATTATTTATACAAATCCATACCTTCTAAACAATTGTATTGTACGTTAAGAACGGATCAGATCTGATGTAGATTTGCTCATGTTCTACATTGGTAACGAGATTAAGAAAAAACAAACAAACTAATTCAGAATCATAGTGTATAATTACCTGCACAGAAAAAATATCAATAAATATCATAGACTTGGGCATTGCTGGACAATATACAGCTTGTGTAGTAATAGTGTCATTGATGCATACACATCCTATCTTGTGTCTGGGTGTTACACTATACATGATGCCCTGATGTGTTAGGGCGTTATACTGAGTAAGGCCAAACTGGGTGCACATTACATTATCACAGAACATAATTATAAACACACAACTAGTACTGAATCAGACAAGTAAAATCTAACTAACAAATTCTTAAAGGGACAAATCAGGCACAATACTTAAACTCATTGTAACAGGAGAGAGATGATGTTCACAAAGTGTCTCGCTGTCTATAATTTTATCTAAGCTTCCTAACTGAAGTTTTTTCTCATCTTCAGAGACACAAACCCCACATCTCAACCCTTTTAAATAGTTTTACTCCATAACAAGTCACACTTTTTTGTTAATCTTTTTATAGATTCTTTTAACAATGTCAACGTCAAGGTTTGTTTTTTGTAACAATAAAGCCTGTGTAACACATGAGAGTCTTGTCATTCTCCTAGTTGCAGAAAACAATTAGGACTTTAGGAAAACTCGGATCCTCTCATTTGATACTCGCAAAATGCAGCGCAACCACTGGCTATCCACTCTATTTACAATTTTTTTTTTGTACAATACACACAATAATTTCATAATTATAGTATGTATATATACATTTTATTTTACATATGCATAAACATTATATGCATACATATTACACAGACACACAGACACACAGACACAACACACACGCAAACACAAACACACAAACACACACGCACACACACACAACACACACACACACACACACACACACACACACACACACACACACACGCACACACGCAACACACACACACACACACACACACGCACACGCACGCACGCACACACACACACCTATGATGAAATCATAGAACTGATTACAGGACTTCCAAACAAGGCTGCACGGGTAACCCCAAAATACCCAGAGGAATGTAAAAAACAGGATAGAATAGACAAACGTGAAAAATTTACAACAGGGTCACAGACAACAAAACTCCCTTGAAAAATTTACATGTGAGGAACACAGCAGTAACAGTGCAAGAGAAAGCAAACAAAGGGAAACGAGAGAAGGAAAAACGCAAGGAAATGAGCTGAAGTCGAAGCAGATGGACGAAAGGTTTGACTGTGTTCCCCCCACACTACTACCCTACTTCCCCCTCAGAAGCAACTCGTCCATTTGTGGAGGTGATAAGAGCAACCATCCTCGACTGCTCTGACCCTGAATAAAAAGAAAACAGGTAAATTACCAAGAACACTGTTTATATATATATATATATATATATATATATATATATATATATATATATATATATATATATATATATATATATATATATGTATATTTATATATATTTATATATATATGTATATATAAACATATATATGTATGTATGTATATATGTATATATACACACACACACACATATATATATCTATATGTATATATATGTGTAAGTGAGAGAAAGAGAGAAAGAGAGAGAGAGAGAGAGAGAGAGAGAGAGAGAGAGAGAGAGAGAGAGAGAGAGAGAGAGAGAGAGAGAGAGAGAGAGAGAGAGAGAGAGAGTGAGAGAGTGAGAGAGTGAGAGAGTGAGAGAGTGTGAGAGTGTGCATGTGTGCGTGTGTGTGTGAGGAAGAAAAATCAAACGTTCTTGATGTCATGGCCATTGGAAAATAATACACTGGTATAGATTACAGGCCTTGTAAAAATAACAATTTATTAATTTAAAATGGAAAATTTCAGATGTCAAATTTTCAATGATTACAATCATGGATGAAAAATACAGGGGGAAAAATGGGATTATCAGCAGCACAGTATAACTATTAACTCAGAGTCATAATCATATATATATAAAAATCTAAAAGAGAGAGAGAAAAAAACAATTATGGAATTTCCTCTCCAACTAGGAGCAAGAAAAGAATATCAAAACTTTGACTGCAATTGTACTAACGACAAAAAGACCTTGTTCCGAGTCTAAACCTCATGGCCGAGTTGCAACTAAGCCCCTCTGCCGGGTCTGACGTGAAGCACAATGACTAGAGCCCACTTTGCTACTGTCCATCAAATGAGCCAATGCCTTGCTTGTAATGGACTGTTGTTGCATGTATATATACATATGCATATATGTCTATGTGTATGTGTGTGTTTGTGTGTGAATATGAGTATGGGTTTATGTATACTTATGTATACACACACAAGCACACATAAACACATATGTGGACACACATATAATCAAAGCCAAATATAATCATCTATTCCATCATAAGTCTGAGAAGTAAAAACCCAAGGTTCCCCAGCCATTACGAAATCCTAGGCCATCTAAAACTGCACCCCCCCCCCCTTCCTCCCAATTTCAAAATCAACAGTTGCACACAAACTCATCAGAATCAAAGCAAAGTAGCCAGGTGCATCCACAAAACACACACACAAACGAAAGTACTCCCTCAATGATCCACAAAAATAAACTCCTTTTACTTATTTACTAGAGAACTTAACCTTTACTTTGGACCAACATTTTTGTTTTGTTTTTTATTTGCACAATGTACATGGAATCATATCTTTAGAATCTGTCCATCCGTCCAGCCATCCATTCAGGGGTACAAGGAAATACACACATGGATAATATACTCTACAACACACACACACACACACACACACACACACACACACATATATATATATATATATATATATATATATATATATAATATATATATATATAATATATAAATATATATATATATATATATATATATATATATATATATATATATATATATATATATATATATATATATAATATATATAAATATATATAATATATATAATATATATATATATAAATATATATAATATATATATATATTATATATATATATATATATATAATATATATATATATATATATATATATATAAATATATATAATATATATATATATATATATATATATATATATATATATATATATATATATATATATATATATATATTATAATATATATACTAATATTTTATGCATTTTCACATATCAAAATGATTCAAGTGCAAAAAAAGATAATAAACTTTAATGAAAACTGCTCATTAAAAATATGAGTGGAGGAAAAATAAAAAAGAATCTAAAGAATCACATAATAAAAGTAATGGATAACTACCTAAAAACATAAAAATAATAGCAGAAAAAGAAATAAAAATAAAATGATACAGAGACAGATACACAGACACAAACACACATGCACGTGTATTCAGTTTTACCTTGGAAACAACTTGGAGCGTCTTATGACAATCAATTTTGGTTTGAATTACCTCGGATTCAGAGGAAGGACTCCCCCCCCCATCCCCATCCCGTATCCCCAACCCCTCAGGCAGATATGTAATAATTTTACTATCACTTTGTTATTGCATAATCTGTATGTAATGTATGCTGCCTGCAATGGCATGCAATCACTCTTGGAG